GAGTAAAAAACAACACATTTATAAAGTAGGAGGAGGAGGATAGTAGGATTATGTAGGTATTCTTGTCGTCATCATCATTATCATTATCATCATCAACAGCCGAAAGACGTCCACTGCTGGACAAAGGCCTCCCCCTTAGTCCTCCACGTCGAACGACAACTCCCCACCTGCATCCACTGGCTCCCCGCAACTCTGATGATGTCGTCAGTCCACCTAGCGGGAGGCCTGCCCACGCTTCGTCTTCCAGTCCGTGGTCTCCACAAGGACTTGGTAGGTATTGTTGTAACAGGTAAAAAAATTATGAGATAACGTGGCAAACGGTGTCGATTTGATGGTAAGCAATCGATTGGACGACCCCAACTTTAGCTTTTTTTTTTCAAAAAATCATCCAATGATAAAAACGCGAAGATCGTTATAGCCATGGTTTTATTAAAGTGTCTAATTGATGTTAAATCGTCAAAATAATAGAAAATAACTAAAAGAACTGAAATACAATAGTCATTCTTCTATTTAAGAACCCCAAACAATTTATAAATAAAGCAATATCAATAAATAAATATTTAGCGCTGAACAAAACGCGTTAGCAAATTAATTCTTCGCTTCGTTTCACATAAAAAGGCCGGACAGAATTAAATCACGACTAACGCCATCTAGCGACGGTTCTCATGAATACAACATGATCTTCTGACTACTAGATGGCGGTGTTACAAATTTATCGCCACTTTTATTGTTACGACCACTTTGGCCGCGTTTCGCGGGCTTTTAGCTAAATTACTCTCATTACTTACATACTACGTTAACATATTGGTGTTTGTGTAATGCGCAGCGATTTAAGCGCTTCTTCCTTTTGTTAGATGGTACCTGTAAATGTGACAAAAATCTGTTTTGTCTGGTAAAATGGTCCATCAATTAATGATGATCTGTTGGTGAGCGATATTGAATTGCGTTCTAACATGGTATGCTATTTATATATATGTTATTTCTCACTTTCAATGGAGAATTTATACAAAATTTTACAGAACAAAATCGAAAATGTGTCATTTTCAGCGCCGCTTTTCTCTACTTCAGCGGCTAAAAATCCCAAATACACATGATAAACACAAACAAATCGCACAGATAACATTTGCCGTCGTAATTTGGCTAATGTATCATAAACATTTTTGCTTCATCTGTTTCACTAGGCTGAGTGGGCAGTTACCGTTGCCCGGCGGCGCGGAAGAATATATGCCCTTTGTTTATGGTATGTGTTGATATTCAAAGCGCGTAATTTGTAGGGATAGTCATAGGTACTTAGTTATGACGCATTTATTTTTTTATTAGTCATACTTTTGGGAAATAAATGTGGTTATTATTTATACATCAGCTTATAGACACATAATCTATGATGTAAAATTTACTGCATAATTATAATGCATTTCTAACGATTAAATTGAAAATAAATCTTCATAGAAAGAGGCCTCAATTTTGTTTCCACCGTCGCCATTAGGTACTCAGTCCGTTTATACTAGCGAAATAACCAGACTACCTATATTATACTCGTAAATCATTTAAGATAAAATTTGTATGGTTTAACCAGGAAAGATAGATTTGGTCAAGAACACAAGTAGCTGAGCTGTTGTTCTTTGACGTCTTAAACCAGGTACAGCAGAATACTAATCAGATAGCATACCCTAACAAAAGATTTCAACATTAACAACGCTAACAGAAAATACTACAAAATGGCTATAAAGCAAAATATTACAGTTAACTGAGTAGGCACAGCACCTCAATTTAACATATTCACTTAATACATTCAGCAACCCACCCAAGCACCGCATTCACAGACAATTTGACAAACTTTTAACCGACGATATGTTGATAGTATGGTGTTTTTATGTAAATCCACCGATGTACGACTACGACGGACGTTCGGATTTCTTAAGCGGCTGAATTAAAGTGTGTTTGGAGATTGTCTAGAGTTGTTAAAACCATTCATGTTGGCTTTATATTTATTTCCGAGGTGGCTTCAGGATAGTAGAACAGGGTAGAATCTAGAAAGATGACATGTTTTTTATAGCATAAGCCGGTAAACGAGCAGACGGATCACCTGATGGTAAGCAATCGGCACCGCCCACGGATATTCGAAACACCAAGGCGTTACAAGTGCGTTACCGGTCTTTTGGGAATTGGAAATTTGAGGATTGTGAAGGATTCGGGGATTCGGGAGACGGGGACTAGGGAGGTAATTGGGCCTCCGGTAACCTTACTCACACGACGAAACACAACGCAAGCGTTGTTTCACGTCGGTTTTCTGTGAGGTCGTGGTATCACTCCGGTTGAGCCGGCCCATTCGTACCGAAGCATGGCTCTCCCACACTTGAAAAATGTTGTTCATTTTATCTCACCCTATATTATATGGATCTATGGAACAATTGACATACTTAATTGTTAAAATGTGGTAGTTAGATTTGGTGCGTTTCTGTCTACAGCTAAATTAAAGACGATATATCTTTCAACTAAAAAATCGCGGGTTACTCACGTGAATATACTCAGAAAAGCTCTACTAGTATCGAACCTCAGAGAGGTTCTTCCTCATGAGCTGTACGACATCGCCGCGACCGCGAAACTAGTAGAGATTTTCTCAATATATTCACGTGAGGACCCGCAATTATGTCTCACGATAGTTATTATATATAAAAACGATGTTATCTTTTGTTCTAAATTACACACACACACACCCACACCCACACACACATTCATTAAAAAGTAAGTAAGTACCTAATTGTCATCAGTATTAGCAAAATAGTTGCATTGAAATAGTGAACTACGTAGAGAACTTACTTCATTGTTTCTTGTTTGAGTAAATTACCTCGTTAGATATGAAAATTGATCCTAACTCTGCATCCTAGATCACCATTCAAAATAGTAAAAAGTTCAAAAAATACGTTTGTTTCGATCTAATCAACAAAGTAGACCTCGTTTTCAGTAGGTACGCGCCCAACGAGGCAATCACGAAAAACAATCTTCAAATATTTGCCATAGATCAATAACTCTATATACTTCCGGCTGAATTTAATCTGTATAATGTTTTCCGATTTCCAACTTGACTTGTGGCAGGCACTTATATACAACGAATCTTTATTTGCTGTCAACACAAACCAAATTCGACCTTATTGTAAGGAATTTCGGTATTAATTTTATATCTCGAGTGCAAAAAAGAAGATTGTAAATGATCCTTTTCAAATATTTTAATGGCGGTCGAAAGCGCTCGCAAATCGGCCATATTGGATTGGTTTTCCCGCTTCTTTTGTATTGATTTGAATTCGTTAACTTGTTATTTTCGTTGGATTGGTTATGTCTGTGTGATTTCATTGAAATTAGTCTTGGAAATAATGTTTTTATTTCTTTCATATAAGTCAATATTAACACACGGCATTGCTTTGTTAGGATCAATAGAAAATGTATTATAACGTCACGTACTTTAATCTCCCATTTGCTAAACAAACTAAACACCGAATACTGAAAGGCTACTCATACTCAATTTTAAGTTGTAGGTACTTAATTATCTCTGCTCTGCTC